TTTGCCAATGGAATCTGTTTCAGCGGATAATTGAGACCCGCGTTTTTCTGGTGTTTACGCTTCATATTGCTTCAGTGTAGCAGGAAGTCTGAAGTTTTCATTGTTATTACATAACTACAGCAATCACACCTGTTGCAGCTCCTGATGAGATAATAGTTCGACACAAGCAGAGTGCCGATGTTATGCCACACTGTCTGAAAGGATATATCGATTTGATGATGTTTGAAATAACGAGGCTTCAATTAAAGATATTACAAGCATAGGTCACTTCGTAAATATATCTGTACATTAACATTATCATATATTACAGGGTGAACGGGTAACCCAGTCGTCCAAAGGCGCTGCAATTCGCTGTGCAGGGTTGCGTCCCTTAGCTGTGTCAGAATCTGATAACCGTGTGTTCCAATCCTAGAATCGGGCTCATTATGATCCTAATCTTGTCAGCACAACAGCCATGCCGACTGTAAAAGGCGCTGTAAATCAGCTACCCAATCGTCAAAAGTAGTTGTTATTGGCTGTACAGAGTTCCGTCCCTTTGTTGTGCCAGAATCCGATTATCGTCTGTTCGAATCCCAAATTCGTGCTCACGATCAGAACAATAGCCATGCACGTAGGTTCCACTGAAGTCGGCTTTCGTCCAATATTAACCCGACTGAAGTCATGTTCATCAAAGGGACGTTAACGGTAAATCCCTTAATCATTAATTGGGTACAGCAATAAATTGATGAACATTATGTACGCAACACTGAAATCGGATATTGACGACGCCTTACGAATACTAACGACCAATATCTATAGACACGCATAGTCTGTTGGCTTAGAACGGACGACAGACTGCGAAATATAATACGATTTGATGTCAGATTAGTTTTGAATGATTTCTTTGAGGAATTCAAGACGGTGGCACTTCTTGGAGAACAGGTATATCCAGCTTTGGGAATGTTGCAGTCACCATCACTGAGGGCCTCAGAGCTGCAAGAGAAGTTGTCTGTCTGCATACCCATGCACTATCTGCTATACGATAACCCATCAGGAAATCTCCGCACTACACCCCAGTGGCTGGCTCCCGTCAAAAACGGTTTTATGAAATGTCAAAATATTAATACGTAGTCTAGACGAGGGCGAGATATATAGTATTAATACAGTTATTTTACATAGAGTAAATACAGAGTTTATTACACAGAGTCTGAACAGAGTTTATTATATGATTTATACATATAGTTTATTTCAAAATACAACGAACACCCATACATTATGTATATACTGTGAAGATAATATAAGTGTGTCTACAGCATTTCTTTTGTGGGCTGAACTACTTAGTTTGTAAGTCTATGGTCCGGGTTCGAGCTTGCATTGAAATAGTTCAGTGCCGCGTAACCTTGAAGTGGGGTTAATTTTATAATGACCACATAAACTGACGAACAAAAGAAACGTTACCAACCAACATTGTTCCTAAAACATAACAGGACCATTATAATGGAAGATACATAGAGAATACTACACTCATTCTCGTGAGATACCACTTTTACGATACCATTCGTGACCAACTCGTGTTATTCCGGGACAAGCCGAATAGCGACTCGTGCCCCTCTCATGGCAATTTTTGCGACCGGGTTCCGTCTTAGCGCAAACGGGCATACCTAAAACTATTGTCAACTCGTTGCGTAATTGTTCACATATATTTCCCCATAGATTATATATATTTCAGAAGCAATTTAAAGTACATCGGGACGTGCGGAATTATACAGTATGATTTAACACATTTAAATGTGTCTCGGGTATATTTTTAGATGCAAGACATATGTAAAATCAAAAATTATTTCTGAGGGATTCTTTGACGAAGAACTTGAAGTCATACGCGCATTCTGATTGGTTTGTCGTACTTTCGCACATAACATTCATCGATAGGGGGACGAGTCTTCTTGCAGGTTACGAATGTTACGATACGAGTGGACTTTCTATTGTATCTGACTGAGCGAAAGCGGTTTAATAAAGTGTTTGTACATATCTCTCGCTCTCATGAGATTGCTTCAGTTGTGCCTTGTAGTTGCAAAATGAATGACGTCTCGCGACTTTTAATGAATTAAAAAAAGTAGTCCCGGTGTGACAGAGGTCACGGTTATCAAAATGAATAAAACGAGGTCAACCTTGTACGACACGGGTGTGACGTACGGATTTAGTATCTTACCATCTGTATCTTAAACACGATGGTAATAAAGCATTACGAGTAATGCCGTGAATGATAACGAAAATGAAGTTATTGTGGCAGGTATGAAGGTCACCCGTCACAAACAAGGCAAGTCAATTGTTCACCTGAAAAAAACCATGGGAACATATGGTACAAGTCAAAATAGGGAATTGCATCGGACATCATTTTTGTCACTGATGCGTCAAATTTGGAAATGTCCTCCACGTGTCTACCATAAACCTTTTTGAAAGCTTTACTGAGGCCTTGAATGTTGTAACCTTGATCAAACAACTTCTGAAGAAGAGGTGTATGATGCTCTTTGAAATCTTGGTAGAAAGAGCATGCTCGATTGTATCTCAAAAGTTGTGAAATGTAAACACCAAAGGCTGGAGCTGCTGGAATATTGCTCGACATGAAGGGAAAGTTGACTATTGAAAAGTTGAAGTCACCCCTCTTATCATACAGTCTTGTGGAGAGTGTTTGTCACTCTGAATTTTTATGCATAAATCTAAATATGAAACAGATGAGGCGGTCTCAATTGGCTCCTCTATTTGCTTCAGGTGGGTAAACCAGTGGAAGGGAATTGGGTATTTGATTGTTATTAAACGATATCAGATCACCGACATACGTGAAGCTTTAGTTAAACTTCTTGGCCAAATTACCTTGTTTTGACTTTGCCAATCCGAACAGAAATTCCGAATCATATGCATAAAGAAACAGATCCGCAAGAAGGGGAGCACAATTGGTGCTCATGGGGATGCCTAGTCCTTGCCAAAATGTCTTACCCCCAAATTTTACGTAGATGTTATCAATGAGGAAGTCCAGTATAAGAAAAGGGATTTGACGCCATTCGTCTCAGAGGGCCTGTGCTCACTGATGCGTGCAAGAAGGAGCGAGTTGTGCTTAAATTTGACGGTCAAGGCGATCCCATAACTTGTTCTATATGTGATAAATCTAGTACTGACCAAGACAAATCGTTCACGTTAGTGGCATACCCGAACTCTTTTACAAGACGTTCTCTATGGGGCCTTGTGTTATCTGGCTGAATTTGGATCCGAGGGTTCTGTTGCAATAACAGTAGTACAACAAGGTGGAGAACATGGTCAAGGTGACGCTAACAAGTCATATTTCCTTCCAAAACCACCACATCTGTCTTGGCTTGGCCACATATGCCTCCTCAAACCATAATGCCGCCACCTCCGAACGGTTCGACGTCTTGAACGCAACAACGTGACGTTCGTTCTCTTCGTTGGCGGTCGACACAAACTCCTCCAACTGCTCTCGTCTGTGAACGTGACTCCTTGCCAGTTTCTGTCCTGCCAGTGTCGCCGTGTTCGAGCCCATCGATGTAGTCGACGTCGGTGTTCCCGAGTCGGCGTCACGCTTTGTAAAGTGATGTGTAAGCTCTGATATTGTATCGACACAGTCCATGGACACTATCCAGCGACATTTCACTTCAAACTGAATTGCTACTGATCTAGGTACTGTAGCACGTACATCACCCAGCAAATTGTTTTGGTTGTGTTTGGGCGATTGATTCTCAACCGTTTTGTAACACTTTTCGGAGTTTTGACCCAACGTATAACTAATCAGGTTGGTAATGTTTTCTTTGCTCGTCAGTTTATATCATGTAGTGAATGGAGCGTTCGCCCGGAGCATCACCATCACTATCAGCAGCAGCATCTGTAGACACACGTTCGCACGCACGTACGCATCTCTCCTCCCACACGCACACAAACACACACGCACACACGCACATACATACATATATACATACATACATACATACATACATACATACATACATACATACATACATACATATTCTTCCAACTTTTTCAGTTTGTAGACTGCTAACAGCTTCAGTAGCAGAGCCATTAGTGATGTCATTTGATTGTGACGTCATGGTAACCAGTGGCGTCACAATGGTCTGCAAAGCATTGTGATGTATTTCATTGCAGCGATATCTACAGTGTAGATATCGCTTGATCTAAACCAAGCGATATGTCCTGTGGGAACCAGTTTTGGATGATAAACATCCATCACTCCATCCATCACTCCATCCATCCATCCATCCATCCATACATACATACATACATACATACATACATACATACATACATACATACATACATACATGGCATAAGGAGGCTCCAAGAGCTCGCCTATGAAAGGATCAATCTTCTCTTATCTTTATAGTACACGACAGCTGAATTATATAAACGTGTATATAACCTTATATTCATCTATATACGACATTATCATGACACCATTGCTAGTTGTATTAGGTTTTATGACTTACGGCGGACTTATAGACGACAGACGTACCCACCATGGTACAAGCCGTCTTCCCGAGGCAAGGGATTGAACTGACCAGTGTCCATCCACCCCTGTCGAACTAGGCTGGAAATCCGGAGTTACATTTTGGCTGGACCAACGAGTCTATGCACAGTCCTGTAAAAATGCAGATTTCAGTCGACTGCAGGATTTGCAAAACATGTACACCGTCAACTGGGCGTCGACAGATATTTTGCGACTAACGGGATCGGGTGGTCAGGCTCGCTGACTTGGTTGAAGCATGTCATCGATCCCAATTGAGTGGATCGATGCTCATGATGTCAATCATTAGATTGTCTAGTCCAGAATATTTACAGACCGCCGTCATATCGCTGGAAGAGTGCTGATTTCGGCGTAAAACAACAAACCAACCAACCAACCAACCAAATAAATACCAATTCATCGTGATTTCAGATCTGTTTTTTCTAGTTTTCACAATGTCATATATTTCAACGAAAAAACATTTTTGCATAAAAATATTTATTCGATCTTTCGAATTTGAATACAATTAAATGCCTACAATAAGTCCTATCTTATTCTTCTTGTACTGCAAAGACACAGTCATGCACTATAATACAGCAAGACGGTTTTAAAATATTACATGCATTTTGAATTCTTAGCATTTTACACCTTTTCTGTTGATATTCTCAAGCAAACCAAGCCTAGGACTTATATGCATTCTGAAACAGTCTTAAAAATCAAAGGTAATATATGAAATGTGATATAACCGATAAACTGGAGTTTTGCGTTTACACAGACAGTGAGTCCCTACCGAAATGTACAGCAATGAGCATATGTCAATATACATGTGCAATGAGCAGCGTGGTATATGTACACCTGTCAATCAGTAAGCTGAAGAATAATATACCTCGTGCACACGTGCTTATTATTAAATGTACATATTTAGAATGTTGCATAATGGAAAGTGACTTCTTCTAAGTGAAGTAAAATCCAGTATAGTTCTAAGTCCTACCGGACTAACACTGGTATTTACATGAAATCTCTACTATATGAACAACTAATTCCTAGTCTCACAGACGTTGTGATGTTCCAATTTCACGTGTATATATATTGAAATTTCGTGGTAACAGCTTCATCGTTGTTGACAGAAATAAAAGGTACGATACACCATGACTATGAGGTATGTACATTGATGAGTAACAATGACATACATTAAAGAAAGTATATTAACACCACAGACTGTCATCATTAAACATAAAGGGGACATTATTGAGTGAGTATGGTTTTACACCGCTTTTAGCAATATTCCAGCAATATCACGGCGGGGACAGCAGAAATGGGCTTCACACATTGTACCCATGTGGGGAATCGAACCCGGGACTTCGGCGTGACGAGCGAACGCTCTATCCACCAAGCCACCCCACCGCTCCTTTATAAATGTGAATGATGTGAGTATGGTTGTTCAACAATTTACTGCACCCAAAATAAACAATATTTTTTTGAGGTTAAACAAAGTTAATAAGCAGAAATGTTCTGAGTTAGCAGAACTACCGAATAGGACGAACAAAAAGTTAAATTAAATCCCTTTCCTGTTGTGTTAAGATGGCGATGTGTAATTCAATGGTGCAATTATGTACAAAATGTTTTGCTGATCAGAGAAATTGTAACACCTTTACAATGTTTAATGATCTTATAGTCACAAAATTTGATAAAAATCGCTGACATGTAATCGGAAACGTCTTTGAAACTATTATGATACAGACCTCCCATCATGAGTCGTTCTTGCTAATAAATTCAACAAGATGCACATGCAACCGATAGCTATTCACGAGTTTGCACTGGTTGCCGATGTTTGGATTAAGATCGGCATCTTTGCTCCTTTGTACGGCTCGACTTTCCTGGTGTATGGGCAGGCTCATGTTTGTTGACAGTCCATTACAGCCAATAGACGATTCTTCCTTTGTGTCGGTTCTTCGTTGCTTTCATTGACTACAATGGCTGACATTATTCCATCACCATTTCTCAAACATCGAGGTGAACGTCAGCAAACAGTGTACGCTAGTTGAAGTTCCCTTCGAGTGTTGGTGCTAAATGGTCCACAAGACAATCATAACCCTTCAAACATAAGTCATTCCTAAGCTTTCATTGGTACTTTCAGTGCGAAAGTATCACGAACAATCACCATGAACAACTCGCCTTCAGACACTGACCATCATCAGAATCATGTAAATTGTCATACAAAGAGGTAAACTACCCAGTAGGTGCCGTTGAAAGCTAAGAACAGCAACGGGAACATAAGCCTGGAGTATTTGTCAATCGTGTTCACGTCTTGTACTCTGGGGATTTTCACTTTGATGGACTTTGCCTTTTGCTTGAAATTTGAAAAGAGGCGTCTCTTCTTTGGCTGGGAGTTACTATTTCTTCTGCGCACAAGGTTGCTAGGCAGGTAACCATGGGAAACATACGTTCTGGGAATTGAAGGTGCCATGCGAAGATTTGGAGGTTCTGCTCCCTCCGCCTCGACGTCTGCGGTGAAGGTTTGGTTGTTTCTGATTCCCATGACTGGGGACATCCGGATCTCCTTCAGTTCCATAGCGTCATAAGTGTTGTTCTGAAACAAACACGTACTGATTACGTTTATATCTAGGTCCGCTTTCAAGAACACTGATAGTGTGACATGTGGGAGTGATGATTGCTGTATGCAGCTGCACCACGGGTAATTAGTACATGGAAATAGGTGTTAAACAATTTACAGGTGTAACAGAACTGATCCCGATCAAAGGGATCTTAGCGCTGCAGTTAATACTACATGAAGTCTGTGTGGCGCAGTATAGGCGAAACATCAGACCGAGTGAAAGTGTATATTGGAACAAAGGGATTAAGTTACGTTACCGCTAGGGTTAGTTCTAGTGTGAGCGTAGGGATGAACGTGACCTCAGCGCTAGGACTGGTACTATTGTAGGCGCAGGGATGAACGCGACCTTAACGCTTGGGCTGGTTCTATTATAAGCGTAGGCATGAACGCGACATTAACGCTAGGGCTGGTACTATTGTAAGCGTAGGCATGAACGAGACCTTAACGCTAGGGCTGGTACTATTGAACGCGACCTTGGTGCTGGGCCTGGTACTATTGTAAGCGTAGGGATGAACGCGACCTTAGCGCTTGGGTGGGTGCTATTGTAAGCGTAGGGATGAACGCGACCTTAGTGCTAGGGACAGTTCTTTTGTAAGCGCCGGGATGAACGCGACCTTAGTGCTAGGGCTGGTACTATTGTAAGAGTATGGATGAACGCGACCTTAGTGCTAGGGCCAGTACTATTGTAAGCGTGGGGATGAACGCGACCTTAGTGCTAGGGCCAGTACTATTGTAAGCGTTGGGATGAACGCGACCTTAGTGCTAGGGCCAGTACTATTGTAAGCGTAGGGATGAACGCGACCTTAGCGCTTGGGTGGGTGCTATTGTAAGCGCCGGGATGAACGCGACCTTAGTGCTAGGGCTGGTACTATTGTAAGAGTATGGATGAACGCGACCTTAGTGCTAGGGCCAGTACTATTGTAAGCGTGGGGATGAACGCGACCTTAGTGCTAGGGCAAGTACTATTGTAAGCGTCGGGATGAACGCGATCTTAGCGCTAGTGCGGGTGCTATTGTAAGAGTAGGGATGAACGCGATCTTAGCGCTGGGGCGGGTGCAATCGTAAGCGTGTGGATGAACGCGATCTTAGCGCTAGGGCGGATGCTATTGTAGGGATGACCTTAGTGCTAGGGCCAGTACTATTGTAAGCGTAGGGATGAACGCGACCTTAGCGCTTGGGTGGGTGCTATTGTAAGCGCCGGGATGAACGCGATCTTAGCGCTGGGGCGGGTGCAATCGTAAGCGTGTGGATGAACGCGATCTTAGCGCTAGGGCGGATGCTATTGTAAGCGTGTGGATGAACGCGATCTTAGCGCTAGTGCGGGTGCTATTGTAAGCGTAGGGATGAACGCGATCTTAGCGCTAGGGCGGGTGCTATTGTAAGCGTGTGGATGAACGCGATCTTAGCGCTAGGGCGGATGCTATTGTAAGCGTGTGGATGGACGCGATCATAGCGCTGGGGCGGGTGCTATTGTAAGCGTAGGGATTACCATCATGTAATGTTTGACTGTATTGTGAAATAGATGGATAACTGTCTGCTAAATGCTTTGATGTGTTGGTGCATTGAGATGTTGGTACCGTCACCTCAGAGCTGCGATTAGAAAATTGTTGCAGCATGGTGGAATACATAGCTTATCGTCCACTTAGCACTGCGATTAGCAAAATTGTTGCGGTATGGTGGAAGATATGGGTTGCCGTCACCTTTGCGCTCCGATTATATACATTGTTGCAGTATGGCGGAATATATATACATGTAGCTTTTCGTCATCTCAGCGTTGGGATGTGAATCATTATTGCCTAATGGTGGTGTATGTTGGTTAGCGTCGGCTTAGCGCTGCGATTAGTAAAATTGTAAATCTATGACTGTTACGTCGCCTATTATTAATGTTAGGTGGAATATTAAAGCTATAGTGGAATGTGTTCGGTTTCAGTCATCACCTTAGAGACAACATCACTTTGGTGAAATATTGATCACGACGGTTCGCCATCGGTGCGATTCATGATTGTGATTATGATTATGACTATGATCTACTATGAGAGACTGCAGAAATATTGTCACAAGTATAAACAGGATCTTAACAGAACGAGTTGTGTACGATAGCTGTTCTTGTACGTTAGCCTAATCAGTTTACTATATCACAAAGAAGGGGGGGGGGGGGGGGGGAATTGCTGACACAACATCTCTTGGTACATTTCTGAACAGGAGTTCAAACTCCTGATAAACGTTTTATGCATTTATAGACGATATTACGTCGGTATAAAACATCGTAGAGCTCAGGGATAAAAAATGACTGCTCTTCCAAGTCATTGCAAAAACGTCATGAAGCCTCTTTTATTGAATTCTTGAAACTTGTTTAAATAAGATTTCATCTTTTAAAGCACACGATAAATCAGGCAAAAACGAAATCCCAACATGATCTGAGGAATTTTTGTAAAAGCACCATGGCTTTGAATGAAGATAACCGAGTGAAATATGGCTGATTGGATCAAACCAGAGCGTTGGTTTGCCTCCCACCGGTGCCAAGGACCTGATTTATGTGTGAAAACGACAGCATGGAAGCAAGCTTTTTCAAAAACACTCTCGCTTGAGAGCTTGAGTGACACAGAATTTATTCATGCTCGACAAAGAGTAAAAAAAGTGGCGAATTTCGTTGAGAATAATTTCAAAATGGCCGTCAAGTAGTCCGATGTAATATGGTCACGTGATCGGCGCTGAAGTAAACCACTCCACGGGTTGTATGTGAGCTATAATTAGTTTTCGCATTCAGTTCGAAAAGAAATAATTTGTCATTCATTAAAACGATCGAGATTGCGGGCTGGTAGGGTTACAATTAAAGTGGAAATTACTGACAAATGTACTAGCTCATTGCTGTAAAATCATCTCGTATTTCATGCTCAATATTCTCTAACCGAGAAACGAAACGTTAAAACTAGGATTAACTATCAGTGTTTACTCTTCCAGAAATCGTCTAGCTGGTTTCTCCACAAGTGAGAAAAGACATCCATTTAATTTCTTTGAAATGCTATTTGTTTTCAATTTAAAAAACAAGCTAAATTTCTCAACAAAGGCGGCGTTTGACTCCAGGGTACAGACGAGGCCGCAGGCTAAATCAAAGATGAAGTTGATGATGCAAAAACGAATGCTTACTCATATAAATTCCCTTGGCATTTTATTGGTTGTGTTGACGACCACGTAATGTGCTGCCAGCATAACGCAGAATTACGTCTCCCAGTCAGCCCATACCGTAACAGCGTTAAGGGGGAGATAACTGCTTTACAGGAAGAAAATATATGTCCTTTCAAAGACCACAAGTCAGGAATTCCTGCGTGGTGTCTGATCGGTTTATGTGTTTGCGTTATTTTGTTTTACAATTTGAGATCTTACAGATTGTTTAGGAAGAGCTGCCTAAAATTTACGATTGATACACACACTGCCTATGGTGGAGATTAATTGTTCGTTTGATATTTGATAACTCTTCTATGCTAGGCATGATGGATTTTCGCCAGAGGACCTGGTAATTGATTGACTGAGATATCCCTGTAGCAATCCCGAGATTATTCGATAGGAGATCCACTTAAAACGTCATAAATCAACAACATTGGTCACAGTGTTCAGAGAAAAAGTTATAGGTCCTTGGAATAATCCATTGATTTACCGAACCTGCTTTTAAGCATCATTTCCAGATAGTTCCGGGAAATGAAATCCCGAGTATTTGACACTTTTAGATATTTAAGCATCAAGAAACATGTTCTGAATAGCTTTCATCACAGGAGTACCACCATGATTCCCGATTCAGAATCGGTGAAGTCACTTTCGACTGCATTTATATAATATCTTCGATTGACAAAACTCAATTAGTTAAATGTATGCTTATATAAGTAAACCAACGATCACCCTACCCTTGCTCTACCTAACTGAAGTAGATCTTATATGTGTCGGTGGTTTTGGTAAAAAACTACAATTACAATTACAATGTATGGCTATTAACTGTTTAGTGCTGTTACATAATATTATCCTGGCCTGACCTGTTTCATATTTCTTACTCACTGATCCAATTAAAATGCAAAATGCAAAAAGGTTGCCGCGTTCATATAAGGTTTGTTACCACTAAAAACCTTGGAATGAATAATGCAAAAAACATTATCAACATTAATTACATTATAAACAAACACATTATTAACGAAAAATGTTTTAGGGCTGACACGTTCTGGAAAACGAGAATATGGCGTTGTCCCCTCTATCAAGACGATAAAATATATAAGAGTGACCGAAAAGAAAAATGCAGTGATGTCATTTTAGAAATACATGCAACAGGATGTCAGTTTCAGAGAATGAGACAAATTAAGTTTTCCGATATTAATGAAATTGGTAATATTTCGACAATATTCATCTATTTCAGTGAATACTGTTTGCGCCCGTCACTAAAGAATTCATCAATGAATATTACTTGATGCCGCATCAGCAGGGTCACGGCTTTAAAGGGCGATAACAAATGTTCATACACTATAAGTGAGTGAGTGAGTATGGTTTTACGCCGCTTTTAGCAATTCCAGCAGTATCACGGCGGGGGGACACCAGAAATGGGCTTCACACATTGTACCCATGTCGGGAAACGAACCCGGGTCTTCGGCGTGATGAGCGAACGCTTTAACCACTAGGCTACCCAACCGCCCCTCATACACTATAAACATAAACAATCCAGCAACGACGCGGTGACGGCTATCACTAAAATATCAGTCATATGTAATAAACCAGACTATAAACTGACTACGACTCATAAAACTAGAGTCAGCCGAGAAATCAAATTAAAACATGACAATAGGTATTGTTTAATATCAATCCACGTCTCTACCGGCAGGAATTTGCAATCAGCAGAAGCTATGGGTTATTCACACCGCCGTGATACTGCATGGATGTTGCTGAGTGCGGCATCAAACAACATACACACAAACAAACGTATTTCAGGTAAGATTTACATTCTCGGTATCGAATCCACTTCTGGCGATTAAACAATGTCAACCTCATATAAAAAACTACAAAAAATGGTAAAATGGTCGTCCCAAAATAATTGTCAGGGTCATACAAGAATATCACTCAACGTTTGATACAAATAAAGTATATGGAAATCGTGAGCTTTTGGATAAAAACGTAATATGTTTACTGTATCACGAAAATTCAAAAGTTGTTGAAAGTATACTCGGTCTGTTATAAGTGCCGGGTAAGGAAATGGCGTCCTTACCATGACTTCCCCGTCCGTCTTCTGTCTGAAGGAGCGTTCCCTCAGCCGCTTGGCTTTCCTCTTGGCGCGGGCCCCCCAGTACGTGTAGTTGACGGCGGCGTACTCCAGTAGGGCCGCGAACACAAACACGAAACACATCACCAGGTAGATGTCAATAGCCTTGACATACGAGATACGTGGAAGGGAGGATCTCACACCGTTATTTATGGTTGTCATGGTGAGTACAGTTGTGATACCTGCAACCAAGAGCAGTGAGCGTGAACATTGATGAACATTGATGACTATAGCGCAAAACAATATTCACTTACTCAGTTCATGGAATTATACGACAAAAGAATCCTGTTTAAACCCCACACATGAAATATTGGTGTGTCAAGCTTTTACTAACATTTACTGTATATCCTTGGTTAGGTGAGGTGAAATCGGTTTGAACGTCGCGTCCAAGATAATTGCACTTATACAGCAACGTGCATGTGTGTGTGTGTGTGGCTGCTTGTACTAGACCGGACTGATGCCGATTTATATTGCTAGCACACTGAGATACCATGCCGCAGTTTAACATGAACATCCCACTCAGACACAGTATTCTGACTCCGAGCCGACCAGTCCTTGTTTTAGCCCCTGAATGTCATCTGCCAGACAGGGTAACAACAAGTACGATCATTTAACGTCTTTTGGTAAGACGCGGCTGGTCGTATATCCTTGGTAATATCTAACAATCCTACACCGGCAAGATCTGAAAGTTGTTTGTGTTTTTTGTTTGTTATAGTGAGTGTTTTAGTTCATACTAATGGACATTAGTTCAGTTATACAACATCGATTCATCTCTTTGTTTTTTTCTTAACTCATCTATTTATTCAGAAAGTCGACCATACAATTGCCACGTGATCTGGGCAAACTGGTCTCACCAATACCAATCATCTTTACATCGACCAATTCATTCCATAATAACAAGCAGAGTCAACTGTTTGATTCCGACTATATCATAAGCATGTTATTATGAATCACTGTCAAAAAGTGAAAATACCAGGTGTTCGCGACAAGGGAAGATATGTTAAAATAATATCAAGAACAGCAATTCAGGTACGTAATTCTATACATATGTCTACATCAATAAATGACTTTTATGTATTTGTTTGTGTGTGTGAAGATATATTCATTATAGTTATTATACCATTTACACGCTCTTATAAGTGTAAATTAAAAATAAAATATGAATAAAACTTGAGAGAAGATGCGCAAGCACTTTAACCATACGAGTCATCAATATATAAAGCGGCTGCCCATACTATCCCCGCGTGTGTATTGTCAAGGAGGAATTTACATCAAATCGGAACAAGACAACGAAAACAATTATTCTGAGACTCGACAAGAAACATGTTTTAAAAATGTCAAAAAATGAAAAGGATTTAGAGGTGTCTCTTGGTGTAAATTCGAAACAAAATCTATATCCATTCACGTCAGCGACCTGACTCATGCGCACTTTGTAAGAGTGATAATCTTATCGAAATGATCAGTTTTCATTGATAGTTCTTAAAAACATTGTTATATAATTACGATTTTGAAAAAAAGTACTCCATCGCTCGCAGCTAGGAATCAGGTGTTCATTTATCACGCCAAACACGTAATTTAATCCAAATAATTGTTAATTTAACGCGTTCCGCCATAGATTTGAAGAAAAATGTTAGTTTTTGTCCAGAAAATCGTGTTAACGTTTTCGCTTAAGGGAATGTAGGCGGAGCACGCTTTTGTTGTCATTTACGAAACAGGAAATTTTAAGGATTAGAGGAGCATGCTTCTCCCTTACAAATACTCTTAATCATGTACGGCCGTAAGCTAGGACGTGTCGAATCATAAGAAACATATTCGAAATACTAGCTTCCAATGAAGTACAATTTAACTGGGTATTTCAGTGCTCAAAGCATCAACACGCATCTGGTCACAAGATTATGAAGGAAAATATTTGAATAACAAGAAATAGCCCTAAAACATGAGACTGTATAGTAATTAGAGGACAAGGGTGAGGCTTTCACGATTTAAACTCAAGGAAACAGTGGGATCTTGATAATAATAATAATGATAACCTGTTCACCTAAAAAAAGCCACGGGAACACATGGTACAAGTCAAAAGTAGGATTTGTATCGGACACATTTTTTGTCACCGATGCGTCAGACTTGAAAATGTCCTCCAAATGTCTACCATAAAACCTTTTGAAAGCTTAACTGACGCCTTGAATGTTGTAACCTTGATACTTGATAAAACAACGGCTGAAATAGAGTCTTACGACGAGCTTTGAAATCTTTGTAGAAAGAGCATGCTCGATTGTGAAATTGTCAAATGTTAACACAAAATACAGGAGCTGCAGGGTTATTGCTCGACATAAAAGGAAGTCATCCCTCTTGTCAGTCTTGTGGAGAGTGTTTTGTCACTCTGAATCTTTGTGTATATATATGAACCAGATGAGGCGGTCTCACTGGTCTCCTATATTTCTAGTTCAGGTATTCAGTGGAAGTGAATTTTGATGGTTATTGAACGAAATAAGATCATCCATATACCTGAAGCTTCGGTTACACTTCTTGGCCAAATTACCTTGGTTTGACTTTTTGTCAACCCATTCAAAATTCCTACTCATGTGCAAAATGAAACAGATCAGCAAGAAGGGGGGACAATTGGTGCCCATGGGGATGCCTGCTTCTTGCCAAAATGTCTTACCCCAAATTTTACGTAGATGTTATCAATGAGGAAATCCAGTATAAGAAAAGGGATTTGACGCCATTCGTCTCAGAGGGCCCGTGCGCACTGATGCACTTGCAAGAAGGGGCGAGTTGTGCTTAAATTTGACGGTCAAGGCGATCCCATAACTTGTTCTATATGTGATAAATCTAGTACTGACCAAGACAAATCGTTCACGTTAGTGGCATACCCGAACTCTTTTACAAGACGTTCTCTATGGGGCCTTGTGTTATCTGGCTGAATCTGGCACGATTGGCGCAAACTACTGACAGAAGATAAATACTTCAAATAATGTTACTTTAATAGTATATGGTTCGCCAGTTTTCACAAATCGGTTACAATTCCAGCAGCTGGTCAAAACGTTAACTACTTACAAAGAGAATAATAACTTCAGTCAATGTTTCTTTGATAGTTTAGGGTTCGCCAGTTATCACAAATTGGTTACTATTCCGGCATAAAACCACACACTCACGCACCAACAAAAGTTTCCTGATAACTGTGACATTGATTAAGTCCAAAAATAGAGGCCCCGGTATAAATATGATAGAACAAAATGTTAATACAATCAGATCGATGCTGTATAAATTCCTGAGCAATTCCAAGTCTTCCAATAGCCGTACATCGTTCATGTGTTTAAGTTAGGAGATCTTAGTGCAAACAATTTGGCAGACAAACAGTAATACGCCAGGGGCATTTTTCTGATGACTGGTCCGGCCAAAGTAATGTTATAGAAATGTCGATTAAAAGTTATTTGTAATTTGTAATATATACTCATAATGGTTGCCTGAAACTGATGGCTTGATATTTTTGCTTGAAGGGGCAACGGTAACGAAACCCCGTTCAACATATTACCATTTTACAGCTGTTTAATCTTTTCCTAACTGAAATACAAAATACTAAAAGTCTGGATATGTAATGTCATATTTCCATCGGTTGCACAATGGAGAACTTACTTATTCATGCAGTCGACATGTGTATGGTCGTCCTGCTCTAAACTTGTTCCATCAACTTTACGACATTCAAGGGCTTATGAAGGCTTTCAAAACGTTTAATGGTGGGTATGTGGATATCATTTCCAAATTTGACCAAACAAGTGTCTAATGCACTGTCAAATTTTACAATAAGTTCCTGGGCTTTTATCCTGGGTGTATTTTTTACCTGTTTCGCGAACATCTGGTACCATCACTAATTGAAAGTGATTCATAAACACATGCTTATGATATAGTCGGAATCATACTACGTATATGGACATGGTTTGTCGGGTATTTGGACAGTAGGGTTTTACCTAAGGCTACTCTGGCCGATGTCGCCTCGTGGTTTATCCAGAAGGACACCCAGGACAACATGACGATCAGGATGGATGGAAGATATGTCTGGAAGATGAAGTATCCGATGTTTCGCTGGAGATTGAAGTGCAAGGAAAGTCGAGTGTAGTTACCTGCAATGATAAAGACCTTGTTATACAACATCACCTATCACACGACTTAAGGTATTCAGAAGTTGAAAGTAGACTGACGGGATCGCGTTGTCAGGCCCGCTGACATGGTTTGATGCATGTCATCGTATCTCAAATAAGTAGATCGATGCTCATGGTGTCAATCACTGGATTGTCTGATTAAGACACGATTATGTATAGACCGCCTTCATATAGAGTTAAACAATACCCTTTGTAATATATGGCGTGTCATATCACAAAAGATCATGACAATGTTAAAAAAGACAAAAACATTAATTTTGATATACAATACAACGCATCAATTTACAAGAGATAATGACAATTCCAATGGATGAAAAAAATGCAAAAGAACAGCACACCGATTGCGATACGACATAACTACACCCTAGGGATAATAAAAAAACAATTTACTCCAGAATCCGATAGTAATAAAGTAATCTTGAAAAGCGTGCTATGACGTTAAGTATAGAAATGTTCTCGTATTTCCATTGTGTATAGTTATGGTAAATCTCAAGTCGAAGGATAAAATGTTGGATTGTGGAGTAAACTGGTGTTTTATTATGCTTTGGTCAATACAATATCCTATCCCAAGCATCCCAAGCAGTGTACTACAATGTGGTGTGTGTACTTGTTTATTTGTCAACGCCGCACAAATCAATATTCCATCTATGTGACAGCGATCCTCGTATGTCGCTTCTGGACAATCAAGTGATTGACATCATGAACATCGATCGATCTACGCTATAGGTTGACATACATCAACCAAGTCGGCGAGCCTGACCACCCGATCCTCTTGCGACAAGCAAGGTCTGCTGAAGACCAATTCTAACCCAGATCTTCAGGGGATATTGTGTTTCCAAATGATGGTATCGACACTCAAAGGCAAATACATTGATATGATATACACATATAATATCCCTGAACTTGATATATGCTATCAGAATGCAAAAAACAACAAAACCAAAACAGATTAAGCAATCTCGACTAAAACTATTAAAATTATTTCCTGATATATATATATACTACTCAACGAAGTAAAAAAACACGCCACCACAGATAAATGAGTGAGTGAGTATGGCTTTTCGCCGCTTTTAGCAATATTCCAGCCATATCATGGCGGGTAACACCAGAAATGGGCTTCACACATTGTACCCATGTCGGGAATCGAACCCGGCTCTTCGGCGTGACGAGTGAACGCTTTAACCACCAGGCTACCCGACCGCCCCTACCACAGATTAACTGTAGTGATATGAAACAATCCCGTGTGCTTAACTACGTTTGAGTAGTATACATGAGGATAGATTCGAAATAGACGATACCAATGAACAAAGGATAATATAAATAAATGAACACAAAACGCATCGTAGTACTCAACTTCATGTGATAACTATTATTGTGCCCAAAGGAAAAAAGCATCACATTGCTTTACAGCAGTTGAAATAAGCTATCAAAGTGCCAAAAGGATAAAAACATACATACAAAACTTATCACTTAAGAAAAGCTATAAAATCTTACATGATAAAAACAAATTTAAAACTAATCGCTCCCCACAGTTTGAAATTAGCTATCAACCATTTCTTACGCTTGTCACTCCTGTCGCGATTGGAATATATCACTCCCCATCTGTCCTTGACTAATCAATAATGCTTCATATATATAAAACGTCAAGCCAGAGAAAAACGGTCTCCAAAACAGACGCCATTGGGCGTGAAAGGTAAAGTAGCAAGGAAACGTATAGGAATGATCACTGCAAATCGGTGATGCCACAATGTGTTCACGTAAAGGGTAAACTTGGGGTCGCCTAGTGGTAAATTGTCACGCCGGAGACCCGGATTAAATTCCATACATTGGTACAATGGGTGAAGCCCACTCTTGAAATCCCCCACCGTGATATGGCTTGAGTATTGATGAAGGCTTCATGCTTCTGTTTTCAACCCTTAGTTTTATCATCATTCAATCATTTATTTGACTATAAAGAGTTTATTCAAATAATTATAATGTTTATACTATTCAAAAGAGTTAAGAACCATATTCGTTCATATTACTATGGTTTATCATGCTATGACAGATTAACCACAGTAATATGAAGAATCGGGTGGTCCTTAACTTCTTTTGAGTAGTATATCATATTTCTGGTTTGGTGGTTAATAAACATCCTACTATATTATAGAATATTTCTGCTTTACATTACGTGATGGACAACCACAGACACTCTGCCTAATATCCACATTCTTAGTCATGAATAACATTTACGTACGCACTTTATCATTAGAAAAACTCGTTTGAGAAAGAATTATGAAAAACCTTGTCTCATCTGTTTGAGTAAAATGGTGTAAAAAGCGAATAATGTTATCAGTGCCATGTACACAGAATCTCAAAAGTTTCTTAACTTTGCCAATTTAATAAAAACGGAATGCCAGAATAACACTCAACATGTAAAGAAATGTACGGGTAAGCATTTCAGCACTCGCCTACATGTAAGTAGCCATCGTTATAGACTTATATACAAACGTGTACTTAGAGAAAAAGCCAAAAAACCAGTGCAGTTATCACCAGTCGATGATGAATGGAAGTCTTTAACGACACGTCAGTTTTTCACGACGTCCAAGCTTAATGCGGGAGAAAATCCTAACGTTATCAAGGTCGTAGACGTTATAAAAATGAAACGTATGCGCATTGGTATGAGGTGTGGACATACAAACGTCATTCTGGGCACTTCTGGGATTCGAACCAACGATCTGCAGATACTCACACAGTAAAGGGACGCAATCCTGCGCAACGAGTTGCTGCCTCTTAGTTGTTTCCACAGCATGGAAAACAGGAAGCTCTCAAAATGCTAATGACACTATTTAATCTGTATCTTATCATGACAAGATCATGAATAAGAGAAAGCTGTTCTGAGATATAAAAGGATTTATGCGGTAATATTTCCGTATGAGCACGTTGGCACTTTACATGGCAAGTTTAGAAATTGTTAACTTCTTGTCCACTTATGACATAATGTCTATGCTTACAACTGATGCTCAATCAAATTGCATCCCCTTCTGAGGGCCCGCCGTAGGGGTTAATTTAGGCTAAGGAAATTTATCAATATTGCTATAGAATAGATCAAACATTCGTTTGGGACTCGCTGTAACCAAAATAGTTGCGTAAACGGAACAACACCGACCCTAGGTTAGAGCCAGAATCGATTCCCCCTTTAACAGAAACCTGCCTGAAGCTTTGTGAAATGGGTTTTCAGGCTGTTGAGATAGGAGGAGCTCAACGTTTAGAGATGCCGACCTATCATTACAACATTGTATCCAATCAAAAGCAACGTTGTGCTGAAACCTCCATAAAAGTATCACAGAGGCCAAAGCAGTGTTGTCGCCATTGTTGATGAATGCTTTCAAGAACAGGAATCTTCAGAGGAGGACACACATTGTATACCTCATCCACGAGATGTGTAAATGCGGTCTCTAAAACTGTAACAAGATTTTTCTGGAATCGATAATCAATATAAAACAACCAAATGTGAAATTAGTCTCTCGGAAAACTAAGGGGATAGCAATTGAAAAGATCAACATTAGTGGAGGAAGTACGGGGGTAAAAAGGTGACCTGCTTAAAGAATTGTTTGCGAATGTCAATATTTCCTAGAATCCTCGTAACAAAGCCCCGCATCATACTCAGTGGAGAGAATATCGAATGATGACAGCGTCTCCCCAAGAAGAACAGCCATTGGCCCTAATTGCATTTTCGTTGTTCTCGCGCGGCAGAGGGCACCTGAGTTAGAAGAAGCTTGCGGGCCGAGCTCCTTTAAATAGTATTGACCGACTCTGTTCCCTGCAAGTATGTTCCAAAATGGAAAACTGTTTTGATTTCAACCCACGTTCTTCTCAAAATTGTGAGATTTATTGTAATCAAGGACACATCTTTCTGGAAATCTTACGGGAGATCGATTTGGCAATGGCTGTTTTTAAGGAACACTGAACACGTTTTCCTCGCCGCATCGTCTGAAATTATAGTCCTCTCTTAAAATCCGTTTAAAAGAGGAAAAGTTCCAAATCGCCTAAGAATCGCCAATACCACCAGCATCCCTTCAGTCAGATTGAAACTGCCACGAAACATCACAACATAAAGAGGCGTTCGCGTCGGGATAGCTTTGTAGTTGAAGCATTTTTCTCCTCACGCCGAAAACCCGGGTTCGAGTCTCCACGAAGATGCAATGTGTGAAGCAATATGGCTTTAATATTGCTAAAAGGGGTCTAAACGTTTACTCGCTCTTTCTCCAAGTCCAGAAATCTAGATAGGTAGCGAATGATGTCCTGAATGCAAAAGAACATTTATTCAAAAAATGCATTGACACTCTTCTCTTCTAGCTACCTAGAATTAATGGCATATGTCTAGGGCGAAAAATGTAAAGAAGTGGGATAACAAAGCTATAACATATTAACCCTTCCTGTTGCTACACTGCCTGTTGGTACTTATTACATCAGTCATTATGAAGACCCGGATAGAATAGGTTATCCGCAACCAATGCTTGCCGTAAAAGGCGACTGTGCTTGTCGTAAGAAGCGACTAACGGGATCGGGTGGTCAGGCTCTCTGATTTGGTTGATGCATGTCATCGATCCCAATTGCGTGGATCGATGCTCATGATATTAATCACTGGATTGTCTGGTCCAGATTCGATTACTTACAAACCCCCGTCATATAGCTGGAATATTGCTGAGTGTGGCGTTAAACAACAAACCAACCAACCAAAATCAGTAACTACATTCGGAAAGTTAAGAATTTCTCGTACTTTTGTCTGTATTAAAGCACTTCGTAAAAACAGTTTCAAAACAAGAATCTTGACACTATGTACACATAAAAGTGACAGTATCTGTTGATAGTCGTCGTTTGTATTTCTATAACTATCAAAACACATAACGCAGCTCTGGTCAGTCACCTCATGGATACCATTATATCATTGACATCATCAACTGAAAATCTTATGGTGAGGTGAGGTGAAATTGGGTTTAACGTCGCGTCCAAGATTATTGCACTCATATAGCGACGTGCATGCATGTGTGTGTGGCTGCGTAAACTAGTCCGGAATAATGCCGATTTATAGTGCTAGCTCAATGTGATACCATGCCGCAATTTAACATGAATACCCTACTCAGACACAGTATACTGACTGTGTTGACCAGTCCTTGTTTTATCCCTTTAATGAGCGCCAGAAAGGGTAACAACAAGAAACATCTTTAATGTCTTTTGGTAGGACACGGCTGGGGATCGAACCCCGGACCTTCCGCTATCCGGGCGGACGCTCTACCACTAGACCATGGAGGCGGTCGAAAATCTTATGAATCTGTGTATAAACCATCATGTGAATATAAAACGTCAACACCAGAGAAGTACCAGTCTAGAGTTTCGGCCGAAACAGATTCATTGGGTATAAAAGGCAAAATAGTCAATGAAACAGATATGAACTGATCACTGAAATCAGTGATGACACCCGGTGTTTGCGAAAAGCGTAAACATGGCCTGCTCTACCGGTAGCACCCCACCACTCACGTGAAAAGTAAGTGTTTGTTTGATGGGTCTATATTGCACTGTCAGCTTTTTAAATCCCGCGATGATAATGTCATTCACATTATCATTAAATCGCCTTATGTTCAATTATTAAAGTATATTACGCGGGAGATATCAAGAATTGGATTCAGCGAAGCAAACCCGGTCATCGACGTGATGAGCAAGTGCTTTAACCACAAGGCTACCCTTCAGCTTCAAATCAGCAAAGACCTCTCAGTCATGAGTTTAACACATGTGAACACGTATATGGGTATGCATTATATATTATCCCTTGAAATATTCAACTAGATAATACGCACATTCTTTGTGATATATCCTTTTACCATTAATTGTTGCATGCAATTGTTGCATACAATTCCAGAACATCTTGCTTGTGGTCCTTGTTTAACATGACCTATGTGTTTCGAATGGTAAATGATAGTGACAACAAGAACACAAGTTTCCCTCGCGTATTTAAACTTATGGACCAGCTGTAAAAGGAAAATAATACATCTTAATATTTAAATTTCAAAATCTCAAACAGCAGCCCCAATTATCCATCGAAACAGATTCCATTGGGCGTAAAACGCAAAACATTGATGACACCATCAGGTCGGGCATGTCCTGCTCAGAAATGTCAGCCTCTTCTTAAAAGGAGTTACGGATTAACTGGGTTAAGTTGAGGTGAAATTGGGTTTAACGTCGCGTCCACGATTATTGCACACACGAGTGTGTGTGTGTGTGTGTGTGTGTGTGTGTGTGTGTGTGTGTGTGTGTGTGAGTGTGTGTGTGTGTGTGGCTGCTTGTACTTATCCGGACTGATGTCGATTTATAGTGCTAGCTCACATAGATACCATGCCGCAATTTAACATGAATACCCCACTCAGACACAGTATACTGACTCCGAGCCGACCAGTCCTTGTTTTAGCCCCTTAATGCCGTCTGCCAGACAGGGGAACATAAGTACCATCTTTTAACGTCTTTTGGTATGACGCGGCCGGGGATCGAACCCTGGACCTTCCGCTCTCCGGGCGGACGCTAACTGAGTTAAGAATGTTGATCAAAAGTTGTATCTTACTTGGAAAACATTTCCTTCTACATGGGATAAATGTTTCTCATCACATTCCGAGTGTACCCGTCATGCATGTCATCGTATCCCAATAGGGTAGATCGATATTCATGATGTTCATGTTCACTGGATTGTCTGGACCAGACTCGATTATTTACAGGCCGCCGCCATATACAGGACTATTGCTTAGTGCGGCGTTACACATCAGACAACAAAACATAATGTTTCTTAATCCACTCATTCAGCTTTAGCACCGAGTCAAAACACACTTCCAGATTGTTGCAGTGGAGACATTTGCATTATTTTAAAGAATTGCTTGGTGAGACCATACAAAACAACAGAAGCCACGACGCGCGGAATATAGAATGATGTTCCCCCAAATTCTGATTCAACTCATTCAAATGCATATTTCAACTCATGAAGAGAAACAGCCAGGGTATTGTCTCTAGCAAATTAAAAATATGAAATGCATTATTTTTCTCATGATACCCCATGCAAAATGTCACATACCAACTCAGATCACTATTACATATAAATAGGAACTGGACAGAAACGTCAATGCTCTGCATTTGTTCACGAAGGCTGGGCAACTTCAACTCATCAGATTACACCGTTATTTACATACGGAGTGTTTGCAGTGACATTTCCACAGCACTACAAATACCTCACACTTACCAAGCACGGCTTATTCCTAGTAATCCAAATTTGCATCTTGGTACTCCTTGTCCATGTAAAGTCTGAACCATCAGGTTCTCTGTCTATCTAATTGTGGACGGATCAGTGCTAAAGCCCCGTGACAATGTTCCAGCAATGTAAACGTCTGTCCTAATGTGGACTGATTACGGATAAAGACTTGTGACAACTCTATCAATATTTCCTGTGATGGGAACACTTACCAGTCAGCAGTCTCTCGACCCACACCACTGTGGAATAATCCACGATGGAGAACTGAGGAAGATCAACGTTATCAACACCTGAGACAGCATCCCTCTCGTTCAGCCATCTGAGATCTACATCAGCCTCTGCATAGCCGTCTGTAAGCAGGAAATAAAACGTCAAACGATTTTCAAAGATTGGCATATCTGGCATAACGATTGATAAAAGGCATATGACTGACACAAAAATGCAATCGTTCCTGGCATGAAAAGCGTAAACGGTTTAGATGTATTCACATAATTATCAACAAAATGTCCAACTAAAGTATGCACCCATGTTTGATGGTGACTAAAAATGAAACAAACGAGAATGGTTATTCGACGGTGATGTATTTGATACGGGTATCATAGTTATGTTTTGGACCGTAAGTTTCCATTGTTTAGGTGACTATTTTCAGTCTCGTAACGTTAGTAATATTTTGGTTAAATTCAATTTTTTAAGTGAGTCCTTTCTTTTGCCCAGTAGTTTAAATGGAAACGACAAATTCGAGAACGTGCACTCCAAACTTAGTTCAAAGTGCAGGGGGCACGGGTGTCCCAGTCGTCTAAGGCGCCGCGATTCGCTGTGCAGAGGTGCGTCCCTTGGGCACGCCAGAAACCTATGATTGTGGGTTCGAATCCCGATTCGCCCCAATTTGGTTTCTAGGTTTGTCAGCACCATACCCGTGCTCGTGGGTTTCACCGAAGTGATAAACGTCTGAGATCTTCATCCCTTTTGGCTTTCCTCTGGAATACTGTTTAAAGCGGCGTTAAACTCAACTTACTCACTCACTAGTGCAAAGTGCAAAAGCCTTTTTTCATCAGGTTGTACACTCAAAATTAATTGTTCACTTAACATGCTGCACATGTTCTCAACAAACTGTGTTTTTTTAAACAGAACCATGTTTGGCACCTTATTTCAAAGGAAAATATAGCGGATTTTTAAGGAGTAACCATAACAAAATTCCTGTCTTAAACAAGTATCCCAGCATTCGAGAAACATTAAATAGTGGAAACCTTACTGCTAAAGTTTTCAAGGTGGCACAGGTGTTCACGGGTGGACATGTTCTGTACAGGTATTGTCATGAGTTGCAAAGGTCACAAAAGAGTCAACACTAGTAAACATTTTTTTACCGTCTGAATCAGATAGGAATACAATCAGTTGTCCTCGGGCTTTTGTGAAATGTGTGGTTACAGCGGCCAACAATCACAGCACAGATCGTATTACCCTATCCAAATTAATCCACACAAGCCCTGTTTATTTTCATCTCTCTTTATGTCTTCTCTGTGTGTATATTTTTATTATCTTACTATCCACTCTCTGATGTATGTATGCATATATTAATACACGCTAGCGCTGTGCTGTGGACTGAGCATGCCCCACAGTGATGTGGAACTTTGCGCTGTGGAAATAACCGTATTATTGTGATAAGGATTTTGATTTTGATCATAACTTTTATTGTGGTGAGGTAAATATGAAGACACATACTCGTTGAGAGTCATGCTGTTTCTGCTCATACTTTATTTTAACACAATATTTCCATTGAAACCCAATAAAAGGACTGCAAAATATAAATGATGGAATTTACCTGACAACATGTATTTTTGGACAAAATAACGAGCGAGACATGAATGTTAAAGCACTATGAGAATAATTTCAAAGGGTGAAGATTCTTCAGAGAAGGTTTCTATGATTTTCTGTCTGCGCATTGAGTGACAAAGATGAGTTTGAATGCCCCTTTAGAGTTTGATGTGTGCTGTAGGGAGCCTTGGGGCAGAAAATAACTGTGATTAACCAGAAAATATAACAATATAGTTCTTGAAATGGTGCTTCAAAACTATTTCTAAAACAATTCAAGCATAGATTATTATATTCCAATGGCTGGGCATTAATCAGTGTGTTGAAAATGCACTTATTCGGCCAATATTTATTACTCTGAACAATATAATAATGTATTCTGCTCAACGTAAATACAAATCCAATGAATGGGAGGCTGTACAAAGCAATGGAAATAAAATAAAGGTTGCATGTAAAGAAAAAACGTCACTGGATGCTGACAGTATCAACATCGCCCCAAAGACCAAAGCACACAACACAACCCAGCGCTCAATATGCACCAGTTAGGTCGTATCTACTCATTATGCCCGACAGTGCTATCATTCTTCTCCAAGGATTTCCCTAGGATTACTGTAGTCTGACCACGATCAACATGGTCACTTAGGGTTGAGTGAGGGAAAGTGCACTTTATGCCCAGACAGTGATTTTTCATCAATATCACGACAGTCTGCAAGAGAATGTCATCATCACTGGGTCAGACAAACCAGAGAAAAAGTTTGAGTAATGACCCACTTCATCAGGGTAAGAGCACACAAAGCAGTGAATATAGTCTTGGTGTCGACCCATTCCATTAGGGTGAGGTCAGACAAACCAGTGAATATAGTTTTGGTGTTGACCCATTCAGTCAGGGTACGGTCAGACAAAGCAGTAAATATAGTCTGAATGTCGACCCATTCCGTCAGGGTAAGGTCAGACAAAGCAGTAAATATAGTCTGAATGTCGACCCATTCCGTCAGGGTAAGGTCAGACAAAGCAGTAAATATAGTCTGAATGTCGACCCATTCTGTCAGGGTACGGTCAGACAAAGCAGTGAATATAGTCTGAATGTCGACCCATTCCGTTAAGGTGAGGTCAGACAAAGCAGTGAATAAAGTCTGAATGTCGACCCATTCCGTCAGGGTAAGGTCAGACAAAGCAGTGAATATAGTCTGAATGTCGACCCATTCTGTCAGGGTACGGTCAGACAAAGCATTGAATATAGTCTGAATGTCGACCCATTCCGTTAAGGTGAGGTCAGACAAAGCAGTGAATAAAGTCTGAATGTCGACCCATTCCGTCAGGGTGAGGTCAGACAAAGCAGTGAATATAGTCTGAATGTCGACCCATTCCGTCAGGGTCAGGTCAGACAAAGCAGTGAATATAGTCTGAATGTCGACCCATTCCGTCAGGGTACGGTCAGACAAAGCAGTGAATATAGTCTGAATGTCGACCCATTCCGTCAGGGTCAGGTCAGACAAAGCAGTGAATATAGTCTGAATGTAGACCCATTCCTTCAGGGTACGGTCAGAGATATTTACCAATTCCCTAGGTACCGACTCACTCAGCTTAAGGCCCGACAAACCACTTGGCCATGTTAAGATGACCCACTTATGCAGCAAGTGTGTCATTATGGGTATTTGGGGTATTTTTGATAGGATATTTTACGTAGTCAGAACTATGACTGCTTAATAACTGCCGACTTTAATAATCGACTTTGGATCAAGCAATCACGTTGTTGACAACATGGACAACGATTCATTCTGGCGGGACACTAATGCACAATTCAGACGAATATTTCGAGACAAACGGGGCACTAAAAGACTTTGGCCTGAAATCCTCATGGGATTGAGATTTCGAGAAAAGAACCCGTTTTAAGTTCACATGGCATTTAACGATTTAATCCTTCCCTGACATAGTTACCGTTGGCTATAGGTATTTGGAGATACAAAACTAGAATTATTTCTTTGAAACTTTTGTATATATTCCGACCTGTTTCGTCTTTTCTGATTTGACTTGCACCTAGTTACATCCTTCACCAGTGGAGTCACTTAGACATGGCTTCCACGTACGTTGGAGATATTGATCACAAGAATGAAATTGAAAATAAACAAAAAATACTAGATTCTTTAAAAGTTGGTGCGGATGAACGGTTGCTTAAGATTTGATTAAATTCGGGATTATTGCATTTTTTCTTTTAATTCATACATGGTTGACATATCAATTAAGTTAATATCAACGGAGTTTAGTCTTCGTGTGTTGGTGCGCGAAGGTGGCGTTGGATATGTCATCGTTTTTTGCTCACAGGTGGGAATGCTGGAGCAGGGTCGGTCTCTACTGCCCTAATGTTTACGTAACAGAAGACTTAAAATAGCCACGGGGCGGTTACGATTACTGCTAAGTTTGAATAGGGCTGAGATACGAAACAGACTACTGAGTGAGTGAATATTGTTTTACGCCGCTTAGCAATAATCCAGCGATATCATTTGAGCCGAGGATACCAGAAATGGGTTTAACAATTGTGCCCATGTGAACCGTTCTATTGGTGTGACGAGCGAACGCTTTAACCACAAGGCTACCCGACCCGTGAAGATCCGGGGTAGAATAGGTCTTCAGCAACCCGTTTGCCGTAGAAGGCGACTATGCTTGTCGTAAGAGGCGACTAACGGGATCGGGTGGTCAGGCTCGCCGAATTGGTTGATGCATGGCAACGTGTCCCAATTGCGTGGATCGATGCTTATGATGTCAATGACTGGATTGTCTGACACAGACGCGATTATTTACAGACAACAGACTTACAGATCATTTATGTATTACTGCTGGTGCGCTTAAAGCCAGCTGCCTTTAATTCGGGCATTAATCTAGCTCAGTTTATCCTTTGTTTCGCATTTACTGTGAAGACATGAAATAGTTAACATGATCGAACCGCGAACAAGGCCCCGCTTGAACACGGATATCAAACTCCAGACAGTAAGGTACAGGGAAACCGGATTCAAGACGGAGAAGTGCGGAAACAGACTCAAGACAGGGAAGTACCGAGATAAGGGAACCAAGACAAGGAAGTGCCGAGATAAGAGAACCAAGACAGCGACGTGCCGAGATAAGGGAGCCAAGACAGGCCGGGAAGTTCCGAGGTAAAGGAACCATGACAGGGAAGTGCCGAGGTAAGGGAGCCAAGACAGGGACGTGCCGAGATAAGGGAGCCAAGACAGGGAATTGCCGAGATAAGGGAATTAAGACAGGGAAGTGCCGAGATAAGGGAGCCCAGACAGGGACGTGCCGAGAAAAGGGAACCAAGACAGGGACGTGCCGAGAAAAGGGAACGATGACAGGGATGTGCCGAGATTAGGGAACCAAGACATGGAAGTACCGAGATAAGGGAACCAAGACAGGGACGTGCCGAGATAAGGGAGCCAAGACAGGGACGTGCCGAGAAAAGGGAACCAAGACAGGGACGTGCCGAGATAAGGAAAACAAGGCAGGGATGTGCCGAGATTAGGGAACCAAGACAGGGAAGTATCGAGAT